TACAGAATAAAACAGATTAACAACTATATCTATTAAGGGCTACATTTTCAGCTAGGCTTCTGCAAACCTTTCTTTTGAAAAAGCAATTTTGTTTCTGTTTTCTGCACGCATACAGTCAATGAATATTAAATACATTTGCAAACCCCTTAGCTTGGTTATATACCACGCTGATTAAGTTACCTTGAATTAGATTATCTCTCTTCTCCTTCACTAGCATTCCACCACATCCCCATGGAAGCACTGAGGGTTATATACCAGAAAGGTGCATGACATCGCTTAGGGAATTACAGTCCTTTTCAGATATTGTAAAAATTACTTCACCCAATTCAATTATTCCTTACCCAAACAATAAAGTTCCCTTGTCTCTCCCCTGCACAATTCTGTGTAACATTTTATACAAACAGGCATATCTGCTAGCTTCTTTTCTAGTTTTACAAAAGGCTGACTTGCATTTAGCAGTATTTTTCCACCTTCTAATGGCTATGCACAGTCTTAACACATTACACTTAAAAAAAATAAATACGTATATATATTTACAGTGCAGAGAGAGGCTTTGACACAGACCAATCTGTTAACATATTCCTTCTACAGTATACAGTTGCATCACACAACTTGGGTTCTGTCTATAGGAGTAATTTTGCTTTCAAGAAATCTTAAAGACGTCCTACCACCAGGGAAGCTGGGAGTAGTGGCTGGTTTTGGTACACACATGAAGAGAAGCAGCAGCTGTCAGTCAAGAACTGAGCTCGGGAGTACTATGACGAGAAATTTTAAAAATGAAAATGTGCATTTAAGTTTTGGGAACATCCAGAGACCACAGTCTCTGACTGGGCTTACACAGTACCCAGTGATGAACAAACATACACTAACAAAACAGCCCCTGTTCCAAAGCAGCCTGCAGATTAGTGACCAAATTCAGGCCCTACTGAAATCACTACAGAAGATAAAAATTAAGCAGCAGTTGACAAAAGAACTGGCCAAAGGTGACTGAAAAATACACACATTTCATCTAAAGTGGTTGTGCGTACCTGTACGCTTTCAGCACTAACCTGCATGACAGCTCCACTGCAGGCACCTGCTATGCGACTCTGCTCTGTTCTAGTCAGCAGTGTCATGAGCAAAGCCATCCCAAGCCCTGCCTTCAACCAGCACTAGAAAAATAGGTCAGGGAAATAGCATTATAATCTGATTTAACTGCTACCCAAATCATCACAGGCTCCCCATTAATTTGAATGAGAATTGGATTGGGCCCACATTACTGACAACAAAATGGGAGGTTTATTTTAATATCTTCATCATTTCATTTAAAATCTTCCATTTGAAGAACATAAAACAAGATTTCCCACATTTCTCCAGGGGACTACACAGTGACTTAAATTTCTACGTAAACCAGTTCAAAATAGACAGACTCTCTGCACTTCAGCAGAAAATTGGAGCCCCAACCTGACATAAGGCCACCTTCTCCTTATAGTTGATGGGTGCCACAAAGCAGAACAGCTCAAGAGTAGAAAGTGCATCACCCACGTGTTTGAGTAGAGGACCTTCAGGATTTGCTGTAGAGCCTGTAGTTTCAAAACATCTCACCCAGCTGGAAACCTCACAGGCCAAAGTAAAAATATAAAGACTATCTGGAATTAACTTCCCAAACATCATAGCTCATAGCAGAAATTTTATTTATTTGATGAAAGCAAAAAATAATTTCATATTCTCTAAGAAAAAAAGGTCTGCCAAAGAGGCTTGTTTTGGCAAGTAATGAATGCCTAAAGAAATACTGTTTGCATTGTGCAATGAACTTGTAATTAATGTTTGTTTGCTCACCATTTAATAGCAGTTTTGCACTAAGTGATGGGATTTTGTTGCCATTTGTGAATGTGCAGATTTTGAAACTTCATTCCCCATATGGAAGAGCTCCCAGGGGGTCATATCATAAACCCATTCAAATGAACAAAGCAAATGACAAATATCCGTATAAACGTAGAAAATGAGAAAGCTGTATGTATTGTTTTACGTAAGTACTGCTAAGTGCCTCAGTTTACTTGTGTGGCATTTTCCTGCTTGAGTGCATAGAGCTAAATCAAGAGTCTGTCTAGATGGGGACAGTGAATGCATTAAAAATATACAATTCATTTAGACATGATGAAGGGCCTTTAAATGGAGAAGTCCCCTGTTTCTTTCTTGCCAGCATGGCAATGTCTACGTCTCTCATGCCTACATCTAAATATAAAGGGATTCTGAAATCCCCAAAAGGTAATGAGACTGGCCAAAAGGAGAAATATCAGGTAGCAATCAGTGTGCTTTTAAGAGCACAGACAGTGACCTGGATTAATCTCATTAATCTACATGCACCTGAAATAGAAGTGCAATCTGTCAGGATAAGTGTGAAATCACTTCCAGAGGGTAACTCAGAGACAAGCAGGCTCCTAACATGGCAGGGATCCCAAAAGGGATCCATGAGACCTTCAACCCTTCCATGGACAAGAAGAGAGGCAGCAAATATAGACAGGATTAAGCCAATTTAGGTGATTGCCACTGTGCCTACCACTGCACTTGCACCAACTCCACGTAGATTTAGTTGCTCGGGTAAATAGTCAGCCATACAGGTGGGCTTATTGAAGCCTTTGCTGCTAGGGTTTCATTGCTATCAGGGCTCTGCACAACTGCTAAAGCTAGACTTCACAGAGATGGAGGTCATGGAAAGTGCAATACCTTGCAGAAAAAGATCCAGCTATAGCTAACATGCATGAGTACAGACATTGTACTGCTTGAACTGTTTTTGTGAAATACCGTGGACTACTTTGTAGAGGAGTGATGAATATCATTTTGCTTTGAAAAGGCTGTCCCCTTAATTTGCTGCTACAAGGGCACCCAAAGTAGAGGTTTTAGCAGATGCCAAACTCAGCTGGACCCTGCTTGTTAGTATGCTTAGGACACAGTGGCAAAGCTGCCTTTCACTAAGTCAATCCTAGAATGGAAGCATTGTGCCACTATCTCAGAGTAAGGTACAGCAGCCATGCCTGTCACCCAGTGAGTGACAGTAGTAGTAGCCAGTAGTAGTAGCCAGTCTGCTCTGTAACCAGGTCTGATGCAGAATATCTGGGAGGACATGCACTGTGACAGCACAGATTTACATTACTCTGATTTATGGCTGTATTAAATATATTTTGAAGGCATGCAACTATATAGTTAGAAGCCAAACTTTCCACTTGTAGATGAGAACTTGATCTCTCTTGAGTTATCTGGCAGAAAGCTTTGATGGGTGGAGGGAGTTCCCCACTAAGAAATAATATGGAAATTTTAAACTTCTCTGTAAGCCGCGGGTGGGAGAGGAACATACAGACCATGGTGAACTGCAAAGGAGGACACAGCCTGTAAATGGGGCAGTCTGTTGCTGGGGAAGGAAGTACTGGCCTGTGAAAGAGCCAGAAATAACTCAGAACATAAGATGTATCTCTGATAACACGGTCTTACATACAGCTGCCTACTTAATTTTTAGTTTTGACAGAAATGAAATTGCTATGTGGTTATTTCCCATGCTATCTATATGAAATAGAAAAGTTAGTAAACTATGGCTTAGGGGTGCTGAGGAAGGGTTGGTGTTTCATTAGTATTAAGTATGATTGCACAAACTGGTCTGAAACTGAAGCCTGTATTTTCACAAAGTGAAATACAAACAAAAACACTGCCGTGAGCTAAACAGCAAAACAGAAAGGATATGCGTTCTTTTCAAAAAGTTGAGAAAACCAGATTCCTCCACTTTTTTCAATTCTTCAAAATTCAATCTAACAATGAATGAAAATTCTTCTACTTAGAAAAGTATAGAACATTGATGCTTCTCTAAGGGCAGCATTTGCAATGACATCATCATTGCTGAAACATAACCTTAATGATAATTTAAGCCCCTGATACAGGTCTTTCAGTTGCTCTTGAACCTCATCTATTTTCAGGAGCAATCTGCTCATCTTTAACACCCCAAAAGGGCAGAAATCAGTGTGTTATTATGCTGTACGAACAACTGAAATGCAGTCTTGAACTTGATAAGAAAACTATAACCTTCCTTTATGTTCACAATTTTGCCTTCCACAAAATGTAATTTAAAGAGGGAATTTAAGAACTTTATCTTAGAACTACTCCATCCTCCAGGCAGATTTAGCTCACGGATCTTCTACCAGATTCTGCCACTACAAAAATATCAGGAAAAAAATAAAGGAATAACAGGAAGACCCAACATTGACTTCAGTGCTTGAGAAGTGTTCATATATGAGAAATAGACCTCTAAGGGCCACATAGGGAGAAATACATTTATACTTAATAATCATGAATTCGAAAAACAAATCAGAGAACTGCAGCAAAACCCTTGTTGCAAGTTACACCCAAAAATGTTGAGAAAGAGGGTTGAAATGGAGAATAAATTGTGTGATTAGGAAAACAGTGAGAGAGATTCAGAAAAGAAAACACAGCTTGAGAAGATTTTTAAAATCTTTGAGTCTAACTCTCCTTTCACTCCTATCCAGACAATCTTGCCTCAGTCTGGCACCTGAGTTCATTGCACAAAAACTTTATACTGGGGTAGACAGGAATAAGGCCAGTAAGTTAGTAAAAGAATGTGAGGCTATATCTCGAACAGAAAGGTTAATACTTCCACCCCTTTTTTAATTACAGAATTGCAGATTTTTACTTCTGTGATTTGTGATTCATCTTATAAAGCATAAATTTGCATTTCACCTTAGGTACTTTGTTCTTCCACAATGCATCTACAAGATTTTTATAGCTTTTCATTGTGCTAACAGTATGTTCCCAGAAGAAAACTGATTTTTCTTTTTTTCTTTTTTTTTTTTTCCAGGAATTAGAGAAAATCACAACTCTTCAATTTAACTCACTGAAGGTAAGTCTTTATTCAACAAAATGAGTGCGCTGACTTACCCAGGCCTGGGCATCAGACAGGAACAGAGCAGGATACATACAAAATAACACAAAGCCCCCTTTGGAACTGTATTTTGTACCTGAGGTAGCACTGCTGGTCCTTGTCCTGCCAACCTCTGCAAGGAGCTGACCTGAGGAACCTTAATGGGCACTGCAGTGATAGTTCCCAAAGTCTGTTGGAAGAAGAACAGTTGAACACAGCTTAAAATACTTGCACAGCTTCCCCAGATAGAATCTGCCCAAACCAATGGCTCCCCTTCCAGCTTGCTCTTTCTCTCTTCTTGACCTGTGATGGAAGGGTATAATACACCAGTCCATTTGAAGCTCTTCCTCTTCAGCCTAAAGAGTCAGAGACTCTTCCTTCTCTTTAACATCCTCCACAAAGCACCTTTAACTGAAGCCTTTTGTCTCCTTAGAGCATTTGGTAATTCTGAGTAAAAAGGACACATCTCTCATTGTTGTGAAGTTTTTTTTGGTACACAAAGAAAACACAAGCATGCTGCCATGGCTGAAGGCTGTCTAGGCACTAGCTTTCTTTCAAAAGAGATCTGAAGGAAGGTGAAATGCACCACAGTGAAACTTCAAAATGTGCATTGGTATGATGATGCATTTCATGGTAGCCAGGCTCACAGGAGAAGTTCACTGTGTCGTAGTAAATAGTAAATACTGAATTATTAAAACTGAAAGCTACCCATAAATCTACTACAGCACATTGTAACATAACATTCAGCTAAGACAACATCCATTTCAGCCAACACAGCAGCTATTGCTATCCACACTTATTTTCTCTACTCACACTTCCCTCGGTTGTACAACAAATTAATACAAAACTTATTTAAGATAGAATATAATAAACTATTTCTGTTGGAAGGGACTTACAACGATCATCTAGTCCAACTGCTTGACCAAAAGTTAAATCATGTTAAGGGCATTGTCCAAATGCCCCTTTAACACTGACAGGCTTGGGCCATTGACCATCTCTCTAGGAAGCCTGTTCCAGTGTTTGACCATCCTCTCAGTAAAGTAATGCTTCCTGAACTTCTTTAACTCCCCTCAAAACAAAAGTGTCGAATCACAGCCAGCAAGATAAAGTGTGCTAATAATACCCCAATCTGGTGAAGAAATTTCTCAATAGAAAGCAAAATACAATGTAATCAGCTTGAGGAAAGCAAAACTGTGGCAAGTCAGTACCAATGTGTTCTCCTCAGACCGCAACAACAGAGTGGTAAACCAGCCTATTTCATTCTATCTACAGAGTCTGATAAGAATACCATGCATTTTCATGCAGAATATTTTTAATAAACTTGTCCTACAGAGTTCATATTTTTACTTCTGCTACTCCTCTTGGAGACATTTGGGGGTGTGATGTTCTATATTCAGCAAAGAATAAAATTATCATGAGATTTGCCTGAGTTAAACAATAAGAAGAGCTGTACTGTTATAAACATGCAAGACTATTTTGCCTGAGTACTCATGGATTATCAGTACCCTGGTTTATGCATGGAAAAATATACTCCATTAAACTTCCACCTTGAGCCAAGGTCAGGGGGAGGATGCATGGAGAAAGCAGCATTTCCGCCCATGGCTGGCAAAATAAGTAAGTTACACTTTCCTGCAGAAATAAAGGTATTGGCCACAGTGAGGAACAGAATGGAGTATTTCCACTGCAGTTATCCTTACTGGATGACACAACGAATAAAAAAAATTGGAAGGTTACTATGAACTATCTGAATGAATTACTTCTTTACCCTGTCTACCATATCACAGCCTCACACACTGGGAAGCACAACATGATGAATTCCTGCAGTTTGGAGAGAAGGAGAACTTGAGCTGGCGCCTGCTGCTACTGCCACTTATTAGACATGTCACAACTTCCTGCTTTATATCAGCATGAACTAAAATTAATTCGGCACAGATAACTGCTTTTTAAGGTGAATACCAAAGTGAACTTTCCAACCCACACTAGAGGAACTGAAAGTTTATCACAAGCATGAGCTACATTTTCCCTCCATCCCAACACTGCTTTTACATAAAATGAGATTTCTTTCACAATGGAGTAAAGCATGAGTTTTCCCTGGAAAAGCAGGAACACCACATCTTCTCCTGGGCTGTACATATACCCTCTACAGGAATTCTGTACAGTAGTGCTACAGAAGGTGCAGCCACACTTAAAGCATGACCTTCCAGAAGTTCTACAGAACTTCTTGTTTAAGTTAAAGAAAGTTAAACAAGTTCTTCCTTCTGGAAGGTCATGCTTTAAGTAGCTGCACCTCTCATCATTTTTGTATATGCTACCTGTGACCTTGTGAACACACATTCCGATATTCCTATTCCTACAGATACACATGAATTTGCAAGGATTTCCAAACTGGCCAACAGAATGCCATGTATTAAAATATGCATTTTTCTGCTTTATGTTTGAAAACACTGAACAATTGATCCAAAAAGAATGGAAAGGAGAAAAGAAGCAAAAACGCCATAAAACTACTCTGCACTGTTTTCTTAGCTTCACTTGAAGACAAAGCCAGGATGTATTGTCTGTGGGTATCAGAAAAATGAACTATCATTAGCTCTGTCACCTGCACTCTCAAAAGATTTGTCAGATTTATTTTCCTGAAGTATGAGTTCTGCAGCAATATTGAGAGAAGAAAAAAACAAATTATGGCTTTCTTAGGTTATGAAATTTTCAGTGACAAAGACACAACCTCCTGTTTACAAATAGTTTTAGAGTAAGGCTCTTTGATTTAATATTCAAAGAAACAATCTCAGTGCAAAACTCATATGGCCAAGGGAAAATTCAAAACCTTAATCTCTCATTAATAGTAACAGTATAGTATGTTCAGACAGAGAAAAACCTAAGAATCTATTTTAATTTTCAATATTTACCTTTTTTTTTGCTACTGTTTCCCAGCTTGGGCAATAAATAGTTCAAACTGTTATATCAGCAGAATTCAATGACAGAAACCTCTGTACTTTTCCTGCAACACACTTCATCTGTTATCTCAGGGTACTTCACCTAAGTCAGTATCATCACCTCTGTTTCAGTGATGAAAAAAGTCAACATTTAGAGATACAATTATGTTGTCAGGGCCAGACTGTTGTGCAGGTGGAAGTGCAAGCCAGACTTCTTACTTCCAGTGTCTCATCCATGTGATTGATTATTGATTATCTCATCTGTGGATGTAGAGTCACATCTGAGTCACCTCATTTTAGGTCAGGTTTTAATGATCAGTCAGGATGTCTCTATGATGATGGGTGAAAGAGGTAAAGTATAAAGCAGAGGGAATCACAGTTGTGGTCTCTGCAATGAAGGAGATGCAGGGGCTAGAATGGATGGTTGAGCAGTTTTGCTCTGGGTACATATTTCAGTGCATTTCAGAGCACTGACTTGTTCCAGTTTAAGCAGTAAATAAAGGAGAAGATAAAACCACTTGCCTGACAAACAAAAAAGTAAATGCCTTTATCTGATGTTCTTGGCCAGGCAATGAGAACTGGACAAACTCCCTATGTCTTAAGCTGTCGCAGGATGAATACTGCTCACACTCACCTTAATGCTTCAGTTCTAGCTGGGTCCTCAGCTCATGGACCACAAGAAGTGAGTAATCAAGACATCTCCCTCAAAAAAAGGGAACTAAACTTCTTTTCCTTGTTAACAGTGCCACCTATTTTCACTCACACACCTCCCAAGCTTGCCGTGGTGAGCCTGATGGATCAAATACTCATCACTCACTAATTCCATGCTCTCATTCTCATCCATGTAGGCCTTTTTTTCCTCTTTCTGTTTTTCCAATTTGTCCAAAGAGCAAGCTGGTGCGCATTCTTATAAACCTTTAATTAACAAGCGGAAAAGACATTTTTCTAGCAATGCCTGACCTTTAAGCACTTTGTATGAATTTATCGATACCAGCAGAAACAATAATTTAAAAGGTTATTTTACGAGTGCTGAATAGTTTATGGCAGCACTTTTGTCAAGATAAATGAGTTTCTTATTTCTACATTTACAGCTCTAAGCATTTTAATGCTCTAAGCATTTTAATAAAAAAGGTTCATAAAAGTCAAAGATAACTCCAAATCTCTCCTCTATCTAAATCTACGTGGGTTTTTCTGATGAACCCCTGAAACAAGTACAGTGTGGAGGGAGCACTGAAATGTGCAGCAGTGGGAGAAAGTGAAGAGATGAGTTTCAGTTTGCTCAGAAGTGTTTTGCTTTGATAGTATGCATTTAAGCCAAATTTACTATCTTTATACTGAGACCTTTTTCAAATAAAAACAAATTGATCGGGTGTCTTTCATAGTGTCTAATTAACTGAACTTTAAATCCAGCAGAACTTACTATCCCAGGCAAGCATTTGGGAGCTCATGATCCCTTGCTAACTCCTACCTCAAGCAGCAGCCCCAACCCTGGACTGGAACAGGAACCTCAGCCACTTCATCACCCACTGTAGAGGTTAATGTCAACTGAGTGCATACAGTTGCAACACAAACCATTTCCAAACGCCTGTCTTCAGTAACATACAGAGCAGACAGTTATCTCGTATGTCAGAGACACCTTTTTTGCTTCAGCAAGCCACAGATGCCCTCAGACAGGAACTGCAGCAGGCCCACTCTGTAGGTGTCCTGCAATTTCATTTGGTGGGTAAAAGTAATTAAGTAGCACGCTCGAAAGGATTGCATTTCATTTCAAACTGCAGAAACAGGTGAAGAGATGCAAATCAAATGATCTTTTTCAATGGTCAGTTTACTCACTAAGAAAATAGTAAGAATTTTAAAAAAAGAAAACCATCTCAAAAGCCCCAAAACAGGAGGACACAGTTGCCTTAAAAGTCAAAAAAGGAGTTCCTCTCACAGTATCACAGTATGTTAGAGATTGGAAGGGACCTCGAAAGATCATCTAGTCCAATCCCCCTGCTGGAGCAGGAACACCTAGATAATGTTACACAGGAATGCGTCCAGGCGGGTTTTGAATGTCTCCAGGGAAGGAGACTCCACAACCTCCCTGGGCAGCCTGTTCCAGTGTTCCGTCACCCTCACAGAGAAGAAGTTTCTTCTCACACGATCAAAAGAAAATGAAAGATTTAGAAGTTATTGTCAAGTGCAGTTAAAAAAGAAAATCATTTCTCACCCTCAATTCTTCTATTAATACCAAATAGCATTGTAACTATTTGCTATATTT